GAGGAGAGGAGAGGAGAGGAGAGGAGAGGAGAGGAGAGGAGAGGAGAGGAGAGGAGAGGAGAGGAGAGGAGAAGGGAGGAAAGAGAGAAAGGCAGGGCTGATCATTCACACACTGCTAATTATAAATCAAAGGTGTCTATAGATGACACCAGAGACCTCTGCTGGGCCTGCTGGGCACGGAGCAAGAGAGAAAGTTCAATCTAAAAAGAAAGCAAGAATTATCCGAGAGAACAAAGACCTTCAGAGGAGATGACCCAGACTCAGGCCGTGGTCTGGATGTAAGGCACCTGTCCTGTGGTCTGCAGAACATGAAGATGAGAGTCCCCAAACCACTGTCAGGAGCCACCCCAGAGTTGGATGCCAAGTATAGTCATGTGCTAAGGTGCTGGGGTGGAGGCAATGGCATGACCTATAGGGGATCCAGTTCACACCCCCCCCCCAAAAAAAACCAGCAAAGCTTTGTAGTGTGAACTTCAGGGTCTCAGCGAATAGGAAAGAGAGGCATGGTCAATGATTTTTTTTTAAAAAAAATATATATTTTATTTCTAATTATATGTACATGTACATCTGTGTGTGAGTATGCACCTACGAGTGGGATGCCGGTAGGGTTGGAAGAGGGCACCTGCTCCCCTGGAGCTGGAGTTCTAGGCAGTTGTGAGCCACTCCACACAATGGTAGGCTCCTCTGAGAGCCCAGTAGCCACCTCTACAGGCCCTGTGGCCAGCCTTTAGGGCATTACAACCTTTTAGATATTACCGCATCTTAGGCATTACCACCTTCTGGGCATCCCCGCTTTTTGGGCATTACCACCTTTCGGGCATCACTGTCTTTCGGGCATCACTGCCTTTTTGGGCATCACTGTCTTTCGGGCATCACTGCCTTTTTGGGCATTACTGTCTTTCGGGCATCACTGCCTTTTTGGGCATCACTGTCTTTTGGGCATTACCCCATTACTGCCTTTTGGGCATTACCACCTTTTGGGCATTACTGCCTTTCGGGCATCACTGTCTTTAGGGCATCAATGCCTTTCGGACATAACAGTATGCTGTCATAAACAGAGTTCACACTGCAATCAAGTTACCAAAAAAGAAAAAGTCCCATGTTTTGTGAGGGCCTGATTCCTAGCTAGCGGGGGAGGGGGATGCTCTGTGAAGTAGAGGCAGGAAGAAAGAAGTTGAGGTCATCCTCGGAGACCGTCACTTGTTCTTATTAAAGCTCCCATGTCTGAACTGTAAGAACAGTGAACACTTTAACTTGCCAGCTCTCCATGGCACAGCATGGGTGACCCAGTGCACAGCAGGTTTCTACAAGCTTTATTTTTTTGTTGTTGTTGTCGTTGTTGTTTGGTTGTTTGGGGTTGCGTGTGTATGTGTGGGAGGGGTAGTTTTGGGTTTAGGGTTTTTTCTTTCTTTTCTTTCTTTTTGTTTTTTTGATTTTGTTTGTTTTTTGTTGTGTCCACCCTCAACCAGCAAGGAAAAACACAACACCCGGAGCTCTTCTTGCAGCAGTTTTCAGGACTTTATTCACAGCAATTTATCTCCTTCTCCTTCTCCTTCTCCTTCTCCTTCTCTTTCTCTCTCTCTCCTCTCTCCCCGGGCAAACCTCTCCCAGCCCTTAAGTAGGCATGGGCTGCCAACCCCAAACTGCCAGGTGGACACTGCCCATAGGTTCACGCATATGCAGGCAGCTGATAATCATTGCGTGATCATAGCATAGGTCAGGCCTTAGCCATCTCAGGAGTTGATTATACATCTCCATCAGGTGTGACACCACGCAGCTCGCTACAGTTTTTCAAGACATGGTTTTTCTTTTCTCTGTGTATCCCTGGCTGTCTGGAACTCACTCTGTTGACCAGGCTGGGCTTGAACTCACAGAGATCCTCCTGCTTCTGCCTCCCGAGTGCTAGGATTAAAGAGGTGCACCACCACCACCTGGCTTTCTAACAAGCCTTAAAGGTAAAATGTTATGTATTTGTCTTTGACTTTAATATGTCTCCTCATATAAAACTCTAGCAAATCCGGGATGACCCTGTGATAGAGGAAGAGCTTCAACGAGTCCAGACTGAGCGGATCAACAAGCGGATCGTCCGTGACCTGGAGGATGTAAGCAACTCTCTTCCCTTGGGATCTAATCAAGCCGGTTCTTGAGCAGTTCATCTCTAAAGACACCAATGAGTTTTACAGAGATCCCTTCACCAGGAGGGAACAATTGTTTTTAGTGTGCTTATATTTCCAGGACACAGGGTGCAGTAGTCCTGTGTGTCGTGGTTTCCCTTTTGACCAAGAGTAACTTAAGGAGCCTGGAGAGATGGCTGTGTGGGCCAGAGGGCAATGCTGTGCTCTCCAAGGACCCGAGTCCGGTTCCCAACATTCATGTCAGGAGCTTAAAACCTCCTGGAACTCCAGCTCTAGTGGATCTGGCACCCCCTTCTGGACTCCACTAGCACCTCACACATAGGAGCACAGCCACACACAGGCACATAATTTAAAATAGAATAAAGTTTTATACCAAAAAACAACTTAGGGGAGCAAAGGTTTATTTGGCTCAGAACTGTGAATCACAATCTATTGTTGAGAGCTCTCAAGCAGGAGCTCCCAGGCAGGCCTGCGTGCTACTCCAGAAACTTACTTCACAAAGAAGTACCCAAAACCTATGGAGGACACTTGCTAAGCTGGCTTACACGCAGGCTTACACTCCGCTTTCTTAAATAATTTAGGACCACCTGCTCAGGCATCGTGCTGCCTAGGGTGGGCCGGCCCTTCGTACCACTTAACAATCAAGACAAGCCCCTGGACCCCCAACACCACCCCTAACCTGTCCACAGGGCAGTCGGATCCAGGTGACTCCTGCACCGGCCTCTCTCAGATGTCTCTAGACAATGACAGGCTAAAGAGAACTAGGGTACTATGACATATTTGCAACTAAAATGTTCAAACTTACGATTATGGTCTGGGGAGATGACCAGTTGGTAAAGTGTGTGCCACACAAGCTTGAAGACCTGAGTTCAATCCCAGCACCCACACAGAAAGCCAGCTATGGTTATGTGTGCCTGTAATCCTGGCACTGGGGTACAGAGCCAGTCTGTTCAAATTAGTGAGCTCCACTTTCAGCAGGAGACTCCGTCTCAAAAAAAAAAAAAAAAAAANAAAAAAAAAAAAGAAGAAGAAGAAGAAGAAGAAGAAGAAGAAGAAGAAGAAGAAGAAGAAGAAGAAGAAGAAGAAGAAGAAGAAGAAGAAGAAGAAGAAGAAGTGGAGGCTGGAGATATGGCTCAGTGGTAAGAGCGCCGCTGTTCTCCAGAAGACCAAGGTTGAATTCCCAGCACCAACATGGCAGTTCCGGATTGAGCTCAGGTCATCAGGCTTGGTGGCAAGCACCTGTAGTCTCTGAGCCGCCTTGCTGCCCCCTGTTTCTGCTTGTTCTGCTAAGTAGGCCAGACTCACCTCCAATCCACGATGCTCCTGCCTCAGCCTCCTGAACCCTGGCATTACAGGCATGTAGTATCACACCCAGCCAGAGATCGCACTCTAAAACGTTTATTAAATGCTCACGCCGAAGAGTTTATGTTTGAATGTAAGATGTGCCTATGCTTTTATCTTCACAGAAAGTCCAGGAATTCCATCCTAATTTTGATCCACTGGTTAACAACATGTGGCTCACGAGATTCCGGGCACAAAGACGGTTCCAGCAAATAGCGCGCAAGGTACCTATCAGCTCTGGATTGCCGTCTTCAGGTTTTGATTTGCCTAGTTGTCAGCAGGGGAATCGAATGACGGCCTCTTAGGAATAACGCGTTAGAGATGCAGTTTTCGCGGTATAAACGTCACCTCTCAAGTGTCCCATTGAGATGCATCCCACCTCCCTTTCTGTTGCTGCAATACAGCTCTCTGGCCAAAAGCAAGTTGGAAGAGGAAGGGGTTGATTTGGCTGACACTTCCAGGCCACAGTCCATCCTGAAGGGAGTCAGGGCAGGAACCGAAGCAGAAGCCACAGAGAAACGCTGTGTGCTGACCTGCTGAGACTTGCACTTGGTGGCAGGCTGGGTCCTCATCAGTTAATCACCAACACAGTCTTACACAAATGGTCTGATCTGGGAAATCCTGATGATTCGCTTCTCAGCTAGGATGGAGTTAAAGCTAACCAGGAGAGGAAGGTTTTAGTGTGGTCACATGTTCAGAAGGTCATCATTGCTGTGTGATAGTTACTTCTTTGTTTATCTGGTCAGGGTCTATGCCCCAGGGGAACCTTGAACTCACTACATAGCCAAGGACCTCCTGATCCTCCTGTCTCCCCTCCCTGACTGTTGGGATTACAGGTTGCTGCGAACTCCCTGACCAGCAGGAAGAAACAGGTGAACTCCCTGACCAGCAGGAAGGAACAGCCACCAGAGGAGGATTCTTCCCAAATCAGGCTTTATTGGAGCCTCTTGGTTGAAGGGAGAGCAGAAAGCAAGGGACCCTGAGCTCTGAGCTGTAGCTGCTTATATAGGGAGTCTGCCTAGCAACCTTTGATACTTTGATACTTTAACTGCTTTTCTGGAGACCCACCGGCAGGAAAGAAAGCAGACATCCTTGTCAATTACAGACCACAAGGAAGCCCCCTCCAGGTCAGGGGGAGTGTGGGCAGCTAGATCACAACAACTCACCCTGTTTTCTGGTGGAAGAACTGCAACCTTAATATGGAGTTATTTATCAAGCGAGGCCGGGGCCAAATGCCATCTTGTAATGGCAGTCACTCAAATCGGCTCCCAGCAACAGGTGTTCACCATCACACCAAGTTTATGCTAGAGATGGAACTGGGGGCCTTGTGCAGTCCAGGCAAGCCCTCTGCAGACTGAGCTACACCCCCCCCATCCGCCTGCTACATTATTTCAGAATATTTTTATTACCCAGAAAGGAGCAGTCCCTACCAGTTCCCTTCTACCCCAGGCTCCTGGCAGCCCCTAAATCTACATTCTCTCCCTGTGGACTTGGCTTTTCTGGACATTTCGGGTAAACGCAATCACACAGTATGGCTTTTTGTGGCTGCCTCCTTTCACGTCTGTCTTCAGTGGTGTCGTAATGGGCACGTCACTCTTTGTTGTCACTGTGTAATATCCCACTGTTGGGGTAGACCAGGTTTCCTTTATCTGCCCATGCGCCATGGGCATCCCAGCCGTTCTCACCACTTGGTTCTCTGAGCAATGCTGCTGTAAACGTTCACACCCAAGCTAGAGGACGCGGGGTTTTTCACTCTCTAAGGTATACACACCTAGGAGACTAATTGCTGGGGTTATATAATGACCCTAAAGCAATGATCGGGCTAACTGTTTCAGTGGAGAATGGGGAATTTCAGAGGTGACACTGGGCTCACTGCTTGCCGCTCAGAGTCACCTGTGGTGGCTCCCTTCAGGCCTATCTTCCACCAAGCGCATGCACGGGCTCCAGGACTTCCTGTTGTCGGGATGAATGAGCATCTGGTGGGGCTGGCGGCTGGTTCAGCCAGGAAAGCACTTGGCATGTAAGCATGAGGACTAGAGTCCTCCTTAGCCACTGTGTAAAAAGCCGAGCATGGTGGCCCGTGCCTGCAATCCTGAGATTAGGGCTGCTGGGACAGGACTGTCTGGGACTTCACCGGCCTACCCAAATCGGAGAGATCTGGGTTCTGTGAAAGACCCTTCTCAAAAATAAGGTGGAGACACAATTGAGGACATTACCCAGTACTCTGGCCTCCATAAACACATGTATTGCACACACATGTACATCCACACATGCATGGACACACACATACAGCACACCATGGAAAACAGGACAGCGGGACGGAAGAATAAAAGCTTCTGGAGCTCTACAGTACAGGTGTGAGGAGCCGTGTCTGGCTGCAGCCACACCTCTGCCCTTCACACTATCACCATCCTCCCAAGAATACCATCCCCTGCTGTGGGCCTGTGTTTCCAGTCCCCCTCTGAAACACTTCCTTGCCTCCCTCCAGCTCACCCCTGTCCTTTGGACCAACTGGTCTACCTGGCCTCCAAAGGGCAATCCTTCTGGTCTTTGACACACAGGATGTGCTGAGCCTCGCTATCTGCAGACTTCTGTCTCTTCCTCTTGAGTGTGGCTTCCCTAGGGGACAAAGCTTTCCTCAAGCAAGAGAGCACAATGATTAAGATGTGGTGTGTTATTCAGCTTTATGCTGCTATAACAAATGCCTGAAGTAATCAATGTGTAACAAAAGAAGGCATGTGTTGGCTCCGTTCCAGAGGTTCCATTCCATCGCACTGGGGCCTGCGGCAGCGCAGAGCATCATAGTAGAGCATGTCTGCTGGGCTCGCCTCGTAACAGCCAACAGAAGCATGTTTCAACTCCTAACGTGAAGTCGTTCTATCCCATTCCAGGTCATGCGTGAATTAAGGTTGTTCACTATGCTGGGGGCTATCCGTGAAATGGACAAAGAAGACATAATGAGAAAGATTGTCAAGATCAAGGGGACACTGATACAAGGTAGGAGACCTGAGTGATGCTGAGAACCATGGCCTCTTAGAGGCCTCGTCTCAGTGAACTCAACTCTGTCAGAGCCAAAACTCGTCATAAATCATATTCATCTGTTTCCAGCTGCCTCTAAAATAAACCCACACCAACTTTGTGACTTAAAATTACACAGATTCAGGGATGGGGCAATAACAATGTCAGGACCTGAGTTTGACCTCTGCAAACTACATAAATGGCGGACCGATCATCCCAGTGACAGTGAGTTGGGAGACAGCAAGGTCCCTAAGCTCCCTGGCCACCTAGTGGACCTTCAGTGAAGTTCCAGGTCCACAAACAAAAGGTAAAAAGCAGCTGAGGACTGGCAGCCGTGGTTGTCCTCCAACCTCCACACAATGTGCACAAACATACACGTGTGTACACACACATGAACACGCAAATATCACAGCTTCTGGAGATCAGGAGTCTAAAACCGCCGTGTCAGTCGGCCAGTTCTTGTCCTGGCAGCTGTTGAAAGGCGCCTGCCTCCCTTGGCTCCTGGCTCCTCCCTCACACCACTGTTCCCTCTCACATTTTGTACCAGCACTGCGATTTCCTCAGGCCTGCCTGGAAAGCCAGAGCCCTCGCTCCACTTTGGGAGGTCTAATTTACTTATATCCCCCAGCTCCCTTCCACCATGTGTGAATTACCCTGTGCAATTGCTTGTCCTTGAGGGTGGGGATACAGCTGTCTCTGGGAGGTATTTCCACAACTACCTCGGAGCTCCATGCCATCTGTGGTCAAGTGCCTTCCTTGTTAGTCAAGGAGGTCTGCTCACACCAGACCAGCCTCGGCTCGACCTCCTGCTGTCCGTTGCCGCTCATCGGCAGAGACACAAGGATACGTGTGATTATAGCTGCCGAACGGCCGTTTGGCTCCAGTGTATGCTCAACCTAGCATTTACAGGCAAAGCTTTAAGCCTCATACTGTCTGTTGTTTCAAGAAGTTCTGCTTGTTAGGATTGGGGACATCGTTCAGTCAGTAAAGGACTTTTCTTGCAACTGTGAGAACCTGCATTTGATTCTCAGAACACATATAGAAAATGCCAGCCATCGGGCTGTAGAGATGGCTCAGTGGTTAAGAGCATTGACTGCTCTTCCAGAGGTCCCGGGTTCAATTCCCAGCAACCACATGGTGGCTCACAGCCATCTATAATGAGACCTGGCACCACCTTCTGGCTTGCAGGCACACATGGAAGGAATGCTGTACACATAATAAATAAATATTTTAAAAAGAAGAAGAAGAAAATGCCAGCCATAATGGAATAGGTTTGTAATCCCAGCACTGAGAAGGTGGAGACGGGCCCTGGAGCTTGCTGGCTGGCCAGCCTAACCTTCTTAGCCAGTTGCAGGCTGTGTCAAAAAACAAAGTAGACTGTACCCAAGGAACAACAGTTGAAGTTGTCCCATGGCTTCCACATGCAGACACCCACATGCTACACAGTTGCACATACATGTGTACCATATGAACATTGACATACACATCTCACTCGGAGGGAGGTTAAAAGATAGAGGGATCAACTTATTCTGAGACTCTCTGACTCACAAGCTGCTTCCAAGAACCCAAAAACCATGTCAGAATTTTCTCCCGGCCTGTGGTTCACAGGAAGGGCCACGGGCAGCTGTGCCGCCCCCACGCTCCCCAAGGCCCGCCTCTATCGCTCCTCCACCTCCCCAAGCAGTAGACGCTCCCCTCTCCACCAGGACTACCTCGTGTTGAAGGAGCGGCAGGGCTGCGTTCCGGCAGCCCTGGCTCCTACATGGCTAGCTTATGCCCCGAAATAATTACATGGAAACTGTATTTTTTAAACACTGCCTGGCCCGTTATCTGTAGCCTCTTATTGGCTAGCTCTTACATATTGTTCTAACCCATTTCTAATATTCTGTATAGGCCACGAGCTGGCTTACCAGGGAGGATCTTAACCTGCGTCTGTCTGGAGCGGGAGAATCATGGCGACTCCTCGACTAAGCTTCTTTCTCCCAGCATTCTCTTCTGTTTACTCCACCCACCTATGTTTTAACCAATAAAATGGGCCAAGGCAGTTTCTTTATTATAATTAACCAATGTCCTTTCTCACAAAACACTCGGCAGAATTTCGATTAATCTTATTCCTCCTCTAGTATTTTATGTCTAATATTAAAGTTCCTAACAAAGAATGTATTTTTTACAACAAAATAGGAAACTTTATGTGAAAATCACACATGGTTATCTATAAAAGCACTCTAGAATCCAATTTTTTCTTTGTTAAATTCATCAGAGGTGTTTTAAGGACTGGCACGGTGTTTCAGCTTGCTGCTCTTGCAAAGGACCAGAGTTTGTTCCGAGGACCCATATTGGGCACTGTAACTCTAACGCTGAGGATTATGACATGCTCCTCTGCATCACAGGGGGCTGCACTCATATACACGAACCCATAATTAAAAGTAACAATTAAATCTTATAAAAATAAAACTAAATTTTAAGAGAACTGTAACTAAATAAGCAAAAACAAAATTAAAAAAAAAACCCTAAAACTAACATGAGCCAGATGTGGAACACACCTCTAATGCCAGCGTTCCAGAGGCAGAGACAAGTGGATGCCTGAGTTAGAGGCCAGCCTGGTCTACAGAGTGAGTTCCAGGATAGCCAGGGCCTCACAGAGAAACTCTGTCTCAAAACATCAGAAACAAACAAACAAATAAAAAGGGACCAAGGACTGCGAATGTTGCTCAGTTAGTAGAGCATAGGCCTAACATTCAGTTCATTCCTAGCACCCCATAAATATAGCTTGGTGACACACACCTGTAATCCCAGCCTATAAGAGGTGGAGACAGGAGGATCGAAAGTTCAAGGTCACCCTTAGCTACTTAGTAAAAGGCCAGGTGGGGCTGTAGGAGACCCTGTCTCCAAATGAGAGGGAAAGAGGGTGAATACAAGGAAATTAACAATGTACATATGTATTATACGTGTGTGTATGCAGACTTACTTGAGTGTACATAAATCTAAATATTCCTTCTAAAGTCTATAAGGCATTTATTATTTATCAAAAATGTTCAGTATGATATTTTATACATGTATATGTCTTTTAATCATATTCTCCCCATAGCCATATTTTTCTCCTTTCTCCCCCACTCCTGTAGATCTCCTCCTTTCTAACTAATTCCTCTTCTGCCTTTGTGTGTGTGTGTATGTCTGTGTGTACATATGTGTGTATGTGGGAGAGTGGTATGTGCTGTGTGTGGTATGTATTTTATGTATTGTGTGTGTGCTGTGAGTGATATGTGTTTTAAGTATTGTGTGTGTTCATGTATCACTGTGGGGAGTATTGTACGTGTATGTATGTGTGTGTGTGCTGTGTATGTTGTGTATAGGGTGTGTATGTTGTTTGCCTATGTCTATGTGTGTATGGTATGTGTGTTGTGTGTATTGCATATGCTGTGTGTGTGTCTACATGTATGTGTGTGTATGTGTGGGTTGCTGTGTTTGAAAGGATACATCAGTATTGTATGTGTATGTGTGTGGCATGTGTTGTGTATGTTGTATGTGTATATGATATATTGTGTGTCTATGTTATCTGTGTATGTGTTGGTATGTGTTGTGTGTGTGTTGCATATGTTATGAGGGGTGTGTGTGTGTGTGGTGACCCAATCCATTTAACTAGGACTGTTTACAGGAGCATGGCATGTCAGTCACCATACCACGGAAGAAAATAAACACGAAAGCTCTGTTGCAAATGGTACTTGGTAAGTGCACAGCTAAAGATGCTCGTTTCACATGAAAATCCCTTCTTCCAGAGCCCTAAAGACTCTGACTTTCCCTAGGTGAGAACCCCTACCGATCCCTGAGGGCCCTAATGAGTCAGGATGAGTACCCCTGGCGCTACTCTCTGCACCCTGAGGATGTGCTGCCCTTCGCCTTCCCGTCGGACTCTCAGAGCTACAACGAGCTGGTGGGTGTCTTTCCTTTGTGGGGGAGCAGACAGCATCACGTGGTGTGGGTAGGTCGCCAGACAAGCCAGCACTCAGTCCCTCCACCTCCCCCTGAGAGGCTATGAAGAAGACCTCAGGAATTATAGGCAGTAGGAAATGAGGGAATATCCACTGTCATCTGCCCCATGCCTACTATACCCATGGGTACCATTTACACCATGTCTACTGTATCCATGGTGCCATCTGTCCCACACCTACTGTATCCATGGGTACCATCTGCCCCATGCCTACTGTGCCCATGGGTACCATCTGCCCATGCCTACTATATCCATGGTGCCATCTGCCCCATGCCTACTGTATCCTTGGGTACCATCTGCCCATGCCTACTGTATCCATGGTGCCATCTGCCCCATGCCTACTGTGCCCATGGGTACCATCATCTCTTCATGCCTACTGTATCCATGGATACCATCTGCACCATGCCTATTGTATCCGTGGATACCATCTGCCCCATGCCTACTGTATCCGTGGGTACCATCTGCCCCATGCCTACTGTATCCGTGGGTACCATCTGCCCCACGCCTACTGTATCCATGGGTGCCATCTGCCCCACACCTACTGTATCCATGGTGCCATCTACCCCATGCCTACTGTGCCCATGGGTACCATCATCTTCCTATGCCTACTGTATCCGTGGGTACCATCTGCCCCATGCCTACTATATTCATGGGTACCACCTGACCCATGCCTACTGTATCCATGGATACCATCTGCCCCATGCCAACTGTAACCATGGGTACCTGGAGGAGCTTCCTGACTTGAACTAATTTCCAGTCTTGAAGCCCAGCATGGGCACAAGGCATCAACCCGCTGCTCTGGGAACTGGGCCTGAGAGTCGATGAGAAGATAGGAGCAGAATGCCTACCTAGCCTGTGCTCAAATGAGTCTCCTGGCCTGGCAAATGGAAGGCCAAGAAAACAATGGCTCTTAGCTTAAGTCCCAATCTGCTAAGGACAACATGTGGCTCCAGAATCAGACAAGCTAACCCATCAGGCTGGAATCCCACATCTCCACCCCATCTCTCTTGGGGTTTAATAATGCCTCCTCCTCTTCCTTTATGGGCATGGTGATTCATTATAAAAAAAAATGTAGTTAATTAGTCTGGTAACATACCTCAGTTAAACACAAAGTTGATCTCCAGAACTCAGGTTTTAAAAAACTCAAGCATGGTAGCATGTGTGATCGCAGTGCTGATCATGGAGAGGCAGATCCTGGGGCTCACTGCTCAGCCAGTGCAGCTGAATGGTGAGTCCAGGTGAAGGGAAAGACCTTGTGTCAAAAAACAAAGCAGAGGGTGGAGAGATGTCTCAGCAGTAAAGAGCACTAGCTGCCCTTCCAGAGGATCCTGGTTGGTCCCCAGCACCCATGCACGGTAGCTCACAACTGCCTTTAACTCCAGTTCTGAGGAATCCAGTGTCCTCCTGGGGACTCAAAGAGCACACACACATGTCACACACTCACGCAGGCACATTAAAATTAAAAATAAACCTTTTGAGAAACATAAACCGGTTTTGAGGAACCATCCAGGCAAGGCAGTTTTTCTGTTCTTCACAGGCATGCATACACAAATACACATATACCTGCACATCCATGAACCTGCACACGTATAGGCACACACATACACACATAATAATAATAAGTAATATTAATAATAATAACAGTTAACCCTTACATGTCTTAAGGGCTTTGGCTACCAGACTTCATCAATCCTAACATGCCCATTTTTTAAAAAAAGATTCAGCAAGTTTAAAATTGAGACACATTAGCAATCCACCACATTAGGGCCATGCTGGGCCTAGCTGGGCAAGGTAGAGAATGGCATCTGACATTTGCCTGGTGCTGGAAGGCACCCAGGATCCCTGGGTGCCCGAAGCAAATGGCTGTGCAGGAAACTCTCTAGGGACCAGCTCCTTTAGAAGGCCAGCAAGGAGGTGGGGCCTGACCAGCAAAGTGGGACCACAGTACTTCTTGGCAAAGGACTCAGCTGACCCATGAGGAGCTCTCCCACAGGTTGAAAAGAGCCACCCTTTGAATGTTGACTTCAAACTGTCCTAGGAGGTAGACCAGAAGGTTGTGAGGTACTCCCTTAGACAAAGTGACCCCTGAGGAGGGCTAACTTCACCAGTTGCTAACTCCCAAGGTTTCATGAGCTAAGTCCTTCAAGCCTGAGGGAATGATGGATCTGATAGAATGAATATACACTGAGAGAATATTTATTAGATTTATCTACACACTATGACCCGGTAGTCTAACAGTGGCTATCTTATACTAGAGGGGCTGAGAACCTGGTACTGCCTGATCCACAGGTTTATGTTTCAGCAGTCCCAACCTGTCCCAGAAGAGTAGAGGATTCCTGGAGAGCCACTGGTTCCCAGTCCACAGTGGAAACTCCAAGAATCTGAGTTCTGATCTCAGTAAAGGAATATAGCAGCAGCAGCAACAGAGTAGATGAACTTGCTGGTGAGATGCTCAGACAATGAGGCAAAACTCAAAGCTTTTCCCTCAGACCACCTTCTAATTGGCTGACATTGGATGGAGCCACCCACATTTAGGGAAGGATTCCCCACTCCACATAACCTGATGGAGAAAAGCTTCTCTCTTAGTCAGTTCCAGACTCAGTCAAGCTGACAGCCAGGATTAGCCGCCACAGAAGGACCTGTTGCAGCCTCCATGAGAGCCTATAAGATTCACACACAGAGAGACATGGGGGAGGAGTTGCCTTTGTGCCCACAGCTCAGATAGCAACTGTGGCCACAGGAAGAGCAGTTTGAAGCATAGAATTATTCAAGTAATATTACAAAACAAGATGGAAAACACACACAGCTGTTTATGCTCACAGATGTTTACCTATCCTTCTATGTTTTTCTTTTCATTTTCCCATATAGGCTATTGATAGCCTTGGACCAGTCCCAATTAAAAATTCAGAAGTTCAAATCAAGCACAATTATCCCTACTTCACTTTAAAGGTGAGAGCTGCGCATAACAAATTATTCTGGTTGCTTATGGCTGTCATCTATCACCTATCTACCTGTCCGTCTATCACGTATCTGTCATTGGGAAGACACACATGCCACAGTGCCTGTGTGAAAGTCAGGGAACAACTTTTGGGGGTTGCTTCTGTCCTAGAAATCGAATCTTGTCATCAATCCTGACGGCAAGCACCTTAACACACTGAGCCATCTCGCCGGCCCTCAGGTTCCTTACGAAGAGAGCAAATATGCTTAAATTTGAGTTGCACTATTTTGTTAGTATTACTCCATTCTAGCTTATATATAATGGCACATTGTATTTGCTCTCTTATTTGGTGGTGTGTTGAGCACACCTCAGGTTCTTTTTTTCTAATGTGAATATGGACATTCTTGTGGGGATAGTATATGTTGTACATGTAGGACACAGTGGCTCAGCAGCTGTTAGAAACCATAGGATACAAGTTAGTCAGCCTTCCTTTTCCTTTTTTCTCTTTTCTTTCTTTTGTGGTCTTGAGACAGAATTTCTCTGTGTCGCCCTGGCTGTCCTTTAACTCACTTTGTAGAACAGGCTGGCCTTGAACTCGGAAATCCACCTGCCTCTGGCTCCCAAGAGCTGGGATTAACAGCATGAGCCACCACTGCCTGGCTAGTCAGCCTTCCTTGAAGTATAGGGCCACTGGTGCTTTTGAAAGTAAACATACGTTTATGTATGTCACCAATGAAGTTATTTGTCATGAGAAAATAAATGCTAACTTGTGCTAGGACTCAGAACGAGGCTCAGGACTGGCCCTGTTAGGCAGCTATTATTAAGACATTAATCCTACCAAACAGCGATGGGTTCTTGTGGGAACTACCAATGTCTGATCACCCTAGATAAGGCACTGATGTCAGACCAAAGAAATTATTTCCCCAGTCTAGTTTAATGATCCAGAATGTTTATTGAAATTGCTTACAGGTGCATGGGTTTATATAGAAACATGGATGACTCAAAGCCAGCTGCATCACTGAAACCCCACAATGTCATGGGTGAGGATTCACTAAAGTTGCATCTCTGAAGCACCCTGGACAATTTGCAGGCAGCTCAGTTAATCAGAGAGTCTCCTATCCCCAGTAACTGTTCACCTTGGAGAGGAGATTTTTGTGAATCTTGTAAGTTTCAGGGACTTCTTGAGACTTGTGAGTTTCATTCACTACCTGAACCTCAGTGAGGCTTCCTCCAGGATAGCTATACAAAGCAGGCTTTTAAGTGTCACCAATTTGTTGTCTTCTTTCATTTTCAGGTTCCTCAGATATACAAAGTCAAGGGATATAAACCATTTTCTGTCAACAAGTCCTCAACAAATTACAGAATTCAGAAACTTGCTCGACCTCTGAAACAAGGTGCTGAGGTAATGCATCCGCAACTTCACGAACTCCTCTCACGACTCATGTCCTACCATTAAGAATGACAGGTCATTGAGTTGGAGGGATGACTAAGTAGTTAAGAGCAGTTTTTGCTCTTGAAGAGAACTCAGGTTCAATTTTCACCACCCAGGTGGTGGCACACAGCCATCTATAATCCCAGTTTCATAGGATCCAACAGGCATGCACATGGCACACATACATGCAGGCAAACATTCATGCACATAAAGCAAAATAAGTAACTCTTTAAGAAGGAAATAAGACTAGCAAGCCACTCTTGGTCTACACAGGATGAAGTTACCACCATCATCGCTCTACCCAAGCAGGACACCACACCACTCTCAGCCAAGCCTTCCATCTTGAGTATGAAGGCTCCGGAGGGCTTAGCCAAGTCTGTAGAATACGACCCGCTGTATATTTTCGTAAGTACCAGTTGGCAGACGCCTGTGCTCTGCGTCCCTTATTTCAGCCATTGCCCTACATGAAAACAGAACCATGACTTGAAAATATGTTTTTTGTTTTAGTTTTTATAATTAATTTTTTTACTAAATATTTATGTTCACATTTTTAATTTATCTGTATGTGTGCCAGTGGGTGGGGATAGGAGAGGGTATCAGATTCCTTGGAGCTGGAGTTCCAGTGTTTGTGAGTCATCAAACATGGATGCTGGGATTTGAACTCCAATTTTCATGATAAAGCAAGAAGCACTCTTAACCCCTGAGCCTTTTCTCCAGCACCCCCCCCCTTGTTTTTTTGGCTCTTGGCTCTTTCCTTCCTTCCTTCCTTCCTTCCTTCCTTCCTTCTNCTTCCTTCCTTCCTTCCTTCCTTCCTTCCTTCCTTCCTTCCTTCCTTCCTTCCTTCTTTCCTTTCTTTCTCTTTTCTTTCTTTTTTATTCTATTGATTTTTATTGAGCTCTACATTTTTCTCTGCTCCCCTCCCTGCCTCTCTCCTCCCCTTCAACCCTCCCCCATGGCCCCCAAGCTCCCAATTTACTCAAGAGAGCTTGTCTTTTTCTACTTCCCATGTAGATTAGATCTATGTGTGTTACCCAGACACAGAAAGACAGTTATCACATGTACTCACTCATACGTGGTTTTTAAACACAAAGCAAAGAAACCCAGCCCCATTTTTTAAAAACAGTGTCTCCTAGCCCAGGACGATGTCAAACTCACTATGCAGCCAAGAATGACCTTGAATTTGTAACCCTCCTGCCTCTACTGGTACTAGGATTGCTGGTATACTACACCGCATCCATTTTTATGTGGTGCTGGGGATTGAACCAAGCAAGTCCTGGGCTAACAGCTACATCCCCAGCCCTGGGATGCTTTCTCTTCGGCATTTCAGGTTAGTGGAGCATTCCCTAGCCTCCACCTTCTGATTCTGGATGATATGACAGCAACTGCTTGAGCCCCCTCCATGCCAGCTTCCCCACCATGACAGACTGGGAGCCAGAGTATTTTATCACAGGAGGAAAAGAAACTGAGGCAGACTCAGAAATGGACTTACTCTTTAAACCCGGTTTGCTTATTTAATAACCCCTCCTTGATCATGGCTAGAAGCAGTTCCAAACTGTGATTCCAGTGACATTTTCTTCCTCATGAAGTCAGCAGATCTAAATGCCATCTAATGAAGCCCTTAAGGCAGAAAATGCATACATGAAGATGGGGATGTTGGAAAGATGGGACAACCTGAGGCCCTGCCCCCATGCCCAGTTTGCTAGAAGAGCTGACATGCATCCCCACTGTTAGTGCTAGTGGGAGACACAGAGAGTGCTGCTGACGCCTGCCCCAAGCCTGGTATGGAGACGGGAAAACACCATTAATCTGGTCTCCTTCTCGTCCACAGAATCCCAACCCAGGAATGTTTTCCGTGAAGCATCCTCTGACCTATGCAGAAACGCTGATAGATTACCATCTGTGCTCTCACCCCAAGTACAAGTTCACCCACGAGTCCCACAGAGGGTCCAGCATTCCTCTCACCCAAAAGCAGTTTCTCCATCATACGGTAATGTCAGCCTCAGCAGAGCTGGCCTCGGACTGTGGGGACGGGCAGGGACCAGGGAGAATGGGCACAGTGGGAACTGAGAGAAAGAAGACTGGGCTTTGAGTGAGTACAGGTGCCTGCTACCAAGTCTGAGGATCCGAGTTCAATCCCTGGGACCCACAGGGTGGAAAGAGACCAAGGAGAGCACTGACTTGTGCGTGTTGCCCTCTGACAACTTGTGTGCACACACGAAAACACACACACAGATATGCAGGCACAGAACACAAACATACACATGCACACACAAGCACATACACGCACATTCATGCAAATACATGCACACACATGCAAATAAACACGTATACACATGTGCACACGCATACACATATGTATGTACACAAATGTTCAAAATAAATAGATGTAATTTAAACAACAAGGAAAAGAAAGCTTATAGCCTTAGCCATGGACCAAGAATGGAGACCACAGTCCTCACACTCCAACGGTGGAGGAGACAGGCCTATTCTCAGTTCTGCCATTGTCCCTCTCCATCCGCCTTCTGCTGTCTGCTGCCCTTTTGCCAACACCTTGCCCATTTTGACTTAGAGAGGGAAATGATCACTTGTTAATATTTCAGCCATAGGAAAATAGTTGTGTGGTACTATGACTCCGGGCTCTGGTCTCCTCTTAACTGTGGACCCCCCAAGTCTATAAATGTCAACCACTTGCCCTTTTGTTCCAGGCACAGAACTCACACAGTCCTTGATCTCCCAGCTCAGAAATGTCCCCTTATACCAGCAGCCTCACTCTTCCCCTCCCATCTTCGCCATGATTCACCATTGCCACAACCTCCAGGCTGCCGCAGAAAATTCCCATCCAACTTGGAACACCTCAGTAGGTCAGGGAGCTATGGAGATGGCTAAGCCTCACGAGCGTGAGGACCTGAGTTCAAATCTCCAGCACCCACATAAATCCAGGCATAGTGACACAGACATGTAATCCCCACACCAGGGATACGGAAACAGATGGACCCCTGGAGGTTATTGGCTAACCAGTCTGGCGGAAACTGCAAGCTCCAGGTTCCATGAGCAATGCTGTCTCTTGATTGAGGAAGACAGGGACTTTGGCCTCTGGCATCACGCATGCACACATGCACGCACACAAACATCCTCAGTGTGTATTCATTACCCACAGAGCGGCTCCACTTAGCTGAACTGCTGGTGACCTAATGGTTCCATTATATTGCATTCTGCTGCACTGTCCTCTCTACAGAGTTATTCCAGGACAAAGATACAGAGAATATAAACTAAAAGTAAAAATAAATGAAATACTAGAAATGGGCTAGTCCAGGTGCGAGAGTTAGCCGAGAAGAGGCTAGATATAATGGGCAAGCAGTGTTTAAAAGAATACAATTTGTGTGTTGTTATTTCGGGCATAAGCTAGCAGGCGGCTGGGGTGCTGGGGACACAGCCCCGCCGCTCTTATTTCAACAGTCCTCCCTGCCAGACTGCTACCCATCCTCCTTGAATGTTGCATTAGCATCGCTTTCGCCACCATCCAGACGGACTGGAAGACCCCATCTGCCCTCAGTCACCATCACACATCCTGTAGCTCAGCAGCTGTCTTGGCTTTAGGGGAAGTCAGTCAGGCTTAATGAAATGATACACTTGGACCTAACCTTTTGGAACTTAGAAACAGTCAGCTGAATGAAATGAAGGCTCGCTAAGACATTTTCCCACTATGTTACTATGTTTTCTTGATCCTCTAACAAAAGGTGGCAAAAGCAACTTAAGGAAGGGAGGCGTGGTGGCAGGAGACGAGGCAGCTGGTCCCATGGCACCCACAGCCAGGAAGCAGAGAGATGGGTGCTGTGCTCAGCTCACTTTCTCCTTTTTGTTCAGTCTGGGACCCCAGCCCATGGGATGGTGTCGCCCACAGTCAGCGTGGGTCTTCCCACTTCAGCTAATCCAGCGTTTAAAAATCCTCAGAAACTAGTTGGGCAGTGGTGGGGCAAGCCTTTAATCCCAGCACTCAGGAGGCAGAGGCAGGCAAATTTCTGTGAGTTCAAGGCTGGTCTGGTCTACAAGAGCTAGTTTCCAGAAAAAGCTTCAAAGCTACCGAGAAACCCTGTCTTGAAAAAAAAGAAATCCTCAGAGACAGTGGCAGAGGTTTGTCTCTTAGGTGACTCTGATGTTGTCAAGTCAACAGTTGGCATCAACTTTCCCAGACACCTAACCTTTTCTCTTCATGCCCTGCCCCTGTGCCAACTTTCATCACAGGATATAATTCCTGGAATCATGAACTGGAAGAGGTTCCAGCCCCTGGTGTTCTCCTCCTTGTCTGACTCTCCGAGGACTGAAAACACTCAGAAGTAAGCTGGGGACTGCTGGCCTCCCAGGGGTTTGCACTGCAGATCCCAGAGCCTGGGAGACTGCTGGCCTCCCTGAGAGGTTACACTGCAGATTCCAGAGGCTGGGGGACTGCTGGCCTCACGGGGGTTTTCACTGGAGATTCCAGGGGCTGGGAGACTGCTGGCCTCCTGGGGGGTTGTACTTTCAAAACATGAGGGAGGGCTTGCCTGTCACGGAGCTATGATGGTGGACAGCTGGTTTTCATCTTAATCAAGATACACTTTGTAGCTGGGCAGTGGTGGCACATGCCCTTGATCCCAGCACTCAGAAGGCAGAGGCAGGTGGATCTCTGTGAGTTCGAGACCAGCCTGGTCTATAGAGCTAGTTCCAAGACAGCCAGGGATACATAGAGAAACCCTGTCTTGGAAAAAACAAAAACAAAACAAAAAGAAAACCGCACACTTTTTTAAAGTAATGCAGTCTAGCTAATCAGCGGGGTTTCGGCACAGGAGAACTAATTGATCATATAATTCTGCTGAAATAGTCATGGTCTATTTTTTTCTTTTTGAATAATCTTTTTTTTAAATATTCACGGTACATGAGAGCATGTGCAAGTGTTTGTGCATGTGCATGTGTGCATGTAAGTGCATGTGTATGTGTGTGTATGCGCGTGTACCTGTGTGCAGGTACACACGGCCATGTGTGCACATGCTTATGGAGGCCAGAAGACAATCTTGAGTGTTCTTCATCAGAAACCCTAACTTTTTTTTTTTTTTTGAGGTAAGGTCTTTCTTTCATTAGCACTGGTGCTAGCTGATATCGCTAGGCTAGCCAGCCATGAGGCCGAGGGAGCCTCCTGTGTCTGCTTCTTCCTCTTTGGATTACAGGTGTTCACCACCAAACCCAGCTTTCCTTAGTGTGTTCTGGGCTAGAACTCTGGTTTGTGGGATCAAATTCGGGTCCATAAGCTTTCTCAGCAAGCACTTTGAGTCACCCCACCTCCGCCCTAATGCAGCATCTTCCTCGGGGACCATGACGACAGCATCACTAGGCTGTTGAAATGGCTGTATGAGGAAGTATTTAGAATCTGTCTGGTGCTTGCTTTTGGTAACTTCTTTCTACCAAGTTCACAAAACTGTGCAATCAACTCTCACCACTAGATGGCAGCATCAGCCGCCGCCCCCCCCCCCAACTCATTTTGCAGGAAGACTGGGAATTTTCAAATTGACCCATTGTTTTAGTTTCGTTCCTGTTGCTGTGATAGAATACCCCAACAAAAAGCAGCTTAGAGAAGAAAGGGTTTTTTGGCTCACAGTCCCAGCTTGTAGTCTGTCATCACTTCTGCAGCAACAGAATCCCGCTTGCCTGTTCTCAGCTGGCTTTCTACTCTGACACAGTTCAGGACCTGCTGCCCGTGGAATGGTGCCAGCCACAAGGGGCTGGGTCTTCCTACATCAGTCAACAACCAAGAACTCCTCCCATGCACGCCCAGGAAGGGCTGACAAACCTCTTTCAGGAGTAAAGTTCTTGCCGGCACCTCGCTCCTACCGTGGGGGAAAATGGCACGAGATCAGTAAAAGAGACTCCGCTGGGCCTGGGTTGTGTTCGGACTCCAGCGCACCCACTTTTAACGAGCATGGACTCCAAGTGTTAAAAATTAGCCAGTTCATTTTTCCAAAGCGACGCCCTTGGAAACATCGCCCAGGGCTGTTCTGTTAGTGGGAAATCAGGAGGGGTTGTCTTGGCCCCCGAATAGCCACGCATTAAACATAAAGGCTACGTCAATGAAAACCTCCCGCCATGACTTTTTGCCTTCAGTTTCTGTGCCTCAATGCTCTGTCGGGCCAGTTTGTTCCAACGCAAACAGCCACTGCCTAACAGCTCAAAACCCAGGAGCAGGGCCTGAGCGGGGTGCACAGGTGGAGTACAGGTGTAACAACACAAAGCCTTGGGCTCAGTCCCCAGCAGTGTAGAAACTGGACCAGGTGGCGCACCTCTGTAATCGCAGCACCGGGAGGTGGAAGCAGGAGAATCAGGAGTTCTACACCATTCTCAGCTACACAGGGAGTTCAAGGCCAGCCTAGGCTACATGAGACCTTGTCTCAAAAGAAAAAAATCTTTATTTTTTTATTTCGGGTTTATACAAGTTGTTGAATCGAAGGTCAGGCTGTTGTTTCTGAAAGCAGCTACAAATAATAATGGTAATTCTCTTCAGCTTCTGTATTAACCTGCTCAGGGGGCTACAACTAAAGGCTATAAACAGTGTGCATATTTCTCCTAAGTCAAGGCACCAGGCAGATTTTGTGGCTAGTTAGGGATGACTTTCTGGTGCACAGACAGGGCCTTCTTCTTTATTTTATGTGCATGTGTGTGTGAGTACAGGTGCATTCAGGCCACATCTGTTCTCTCTTCCTGCCATGCGGGTCCCAGGAACCAAGCTTATGACATCAGGCTTAGTGGCAGAACCGTCTTGCTTGCCTGTGTCCACATGTGGATGGAGGCGCAAGCTGGCACGCCTTCCCTTTGCCTGATCCTAGTGAGGCTTTGCTCATCTTTGTCTTTCTTTCCTTTTCTTTCCTTTCCCTTTCTTTCCTCTTTTTAAGACAGGGTTTCTCTGTGTCTAGACCGTCCTGGAACTAGCTCTGTAGACCAGGCTGGCCTCGAATTCACAGAGACCCGCCTGCCTCTGCCTCCAGAGTGCTCGGATTAAAGGCCTGTGCCACCACCACCCGGCCTGGATTTTACATTTTTATTCCACGAAAGTCTTTTGTTTGCTACCATTTCATCATCTCAGACAGTGTAGATGCTGGAAAGTGGTCCAGTTCCCACATCTCCATCCCTTTCTGGACAAGAATCCCTCTGATTACACAGGTTCTACTGTTTGGGTGGAAATTTCCACTAGGTTCTGGGACTGGAGAGGTGGCTTGGAGGTTAAGGGCCAGATCTGCTCTTCCAGAGGACACGAGTTCAGTTCCTGACATCTATGTCACGACTGCATGTAACTCCAGCTCCAGGGGTTCCATGCTGCCTTCTAGTCTCCGTGGATGCTGCACTCATGTGCGCATGCACACTCACACAAAAAATGAAAATAGCCACACCCACAGGAAAGGACCTGGGATCTTTGTCAGAAGTCGGCAGCGAAGTTAACCTCTGGGAGGAGGAGGCCAGGGTGTCTCAAGTGGGGAAGGGCTGTGCAAGTGTACAAATGGCTGCTGTGGAGGGGGTGGTATCAGAAGCTATCCAACAGACAAAGCTGCAGAACACACAAAACATGCTTGCTGTATGAAGATACACATAGGTACATAGAAACACACCTGCATTGGTGTATAGATCTTAGAAGTAACAACTTCACTCCGATGCTTCGCAATCCCAGTCCACACCCATAGTTACGCTTGCTCTCTGCCATTTCATATTTTGTGTGTTTGTGTTCACATGTGTGCATGTGTCTGTGGACATCAAAGGTTGACGTCTCCTGTCTTCCTCAATCTATCTCCACGTATATTTTAAGATAGGGTGCCTCACTGAACTTGGAATTCCCTGACTGGACTACAGTGGCTGGCCAGTGAGCCCCAGGGATCCTTCTTTCTCCATGGGTCTACAGGCTCATGTCCAGGTTTTTAGGTGGGTGCTGGGGATCCGAACTCAGGTCCTCATGCTTACATGACAAACACTTTACTGGCCGAATAATTGCTCCAACTACTAAAGAAACTTTTTTAGCAATTTGACTGTGTGTGTTTATGGAGAGAGAGAGAGAGAGAGAGAGAGAGAGAGAGAGAGAGAGAGAGAGAGAGAGACTTTTATGTTGCTATGACCAAAAGAAACCTAGAAGAGAACAGCTTTACTCCAGCTACAGTTCCAGAAGGAGAGAGCCCAGCAGGAACATGAGGCTGCCATGATTGTCAGTTATCAGAGATCACATTCTTTCCCACACACAAGATTCAAACAGAGAACAGCAAGTAGAACCAAGCTGTGAACACTCCAAGTCCACCTGGTGACGTCCTTCCTCCTCAAGACTTGACCTCCTGAAGGTCTTATGACCAGCCTCAACAGCGCCACCAGCTGGGGACCGACATTCAAACACATATATAAGGTAGAGGGTGGTAAAAGAAGGCACCTCTTTTACCTCTGGGCTCCACATGCATGCAGATCCACACCCACACATGCAAACACGCGTATACATATGCAGACATTGCACACACATACCATGATATATAATACTCATAATATGAATATATATAAATTCTAGGGGCTGGGGATGTGGCTCAGTTGGTCGAGTGCTTGCCTAACAAGCATGAAGCCCTGGCCTCCATCCCCAACACAGCATAAACCAGGCATAGTGCCACACCACACACCTGTAATCCCAGAACTGGAGAGGTAGAGGCAAAAGATCATCAGGTCAAGGTCGCCCTCAGCTAAGTGGCAAGTCTGAGAGCCTGTGTCACACAGAGCCCATGGGAGCTGATGCGTCTGGAGTGTTCACTGCTCGTGTCCTCTCCCACAGGAGAGACTGGTACGGCACCGGGATGCTGCCTATCAATGTCCCTGCCCCACTGGATGGCTTGCCAGAGGAAGACAGACTGGAAACCACAGAGAGGTATCTTCCAGCTTTATCTTTGGGGCTTTGGGTAAGGTGTTATGCTCCATGTGAGGTGCCATGAGGGATTGTGGAAGCACACATGGCCCTAAGGGTCTCCCCTACAGGATCAGGTAAGGCTGGTGCCCAGCTGTGCCACTGGGGAGTGTGACACTTGGCTCAGAGTGCAGAGCAGCCCACCCTCAATGCCTAAAGATGTGAGGAGCAGGGAAGGTGCTAGCTAGTCACGTACTTGCCGCACGCGTGTGAAGACAACGCACACAAAGATCCTCAGCACACACACAAAGCCAGACGTGGGGCTGGAGCAGTAACTCAGAGGTTAAGGTCACTGGTTGCTCTTGCAGGCTTGATTCCCAGCACCCGCATGGCAGATCACAACCTTCCCCTGGCCTCTGTGGCACCACACACACACATGGTGCACATCAGACACACAAGCAAATACTGTTAACTTAAAAAAAAAAAAAAAGCCAGCTGTGGTAGCACACACCTGTAACCCCAGACTGAGGCTGAGGTCAAGGAGACAGGTATATCCTTGATGATTACAGGGCAGGCAGGCAGCTGAATCAGGGCGCTCCAGGTTCAGTGAAGGAGCCTGTCTCAAAAAATAAAAATAGAGAGTAATGGAGGAAAACTTCGGACAGTGACCTGTGGGCTCCGTACATATACACAGACACATGTACACATGGATACATATATCACATGCACACATACTCACACACTCACATGCATACAAGAAATATAAGCTAGAAGCAAGGCAGTTGCATTTCCTTTTATTAATTGGCATCTAACATGTGTCCTTAAGTCGAGCTAGATAGAGAGCCAGCAGCAAAGGTGAGGAGATGTGAGCGAGTCAGGGCCCAGGCTCAGGCCCGGAGCATCTTCTGTGATGCCCAAATACTTGGAGCATGTGTGCTTCAGCCGTCCCACCTGCCACTGCCCACTCTGCAAATGCCTCTCCACTGTGGTCATCACTTTCTCCACATACGTGCATGTGTGTGTGCTTACGTGCGTGCATGTGTCTGCACAAGCATGTGGAGGCCAGAGGTCAACCTCTGATGTTGGCTGTTGTTGGAAACAGAATCTCTCACTGGCCTGGCGCTGACCAACTGTGCCAGGCTGGCTGACCAGCAAGCCCAAGAGCCTGCCTGACTCTGTCTCCCCAGAGCTGGCATCATAATCGTTCACTACTCCACCCTGGTTTCTGGGGATCAAACTCAGGTCCTCATACTTATGCAGTGAGCTCTTTATCGACTGAGTCATCTCCCCAGCCCCCATGTTCATTCTTAAAACTTTCCTGTTCTGATTTACACCATAAGTTAGGATGAAGCAAAGGTATCCTGATAACCACAGCACTGATGACCATCCATGAGCGCCATAGACCAGGGCCCATGCCAGCCTGTGTGCAGAGCAGAGGGAATGGTTTGTCCTTGCAGGAGCAGGATCTCATACCCAGTACACACTCAGAAATAATTACTCGTGACAAACCCGATTTCTTTCTCTTATCAACAACGCGATGTTGATAGTTTCGGCACTTTTCCATGCAAAATAATCAACTAGTGAAATCCTAAATGTCCAGGCGGGTGGCTAGTTCCTCAGACACCTGCCCACGTGCTCTGAGAGTTGAGGTCCTTGGGCGTGCAGGCTTGGAAGCAAGATCTGCAAGGAAGATTAAAAGATTTACCCGAAGCACCATGCAAAGCCCTTTCTTTTTAATTTTTTGAAATAGTATTTGTTTGTTTAAGAGTGTGTGTGTGTGTGTGCATCCTCGCACTTGCCCCAGGTGGTCACGAGGCAGTCAGAGGACAACTTGCAGGAGTCAGTTCTCTGCTTCCATCCCGTGGGTCCCAGGGATCAAATGTATCTTTACCTGCTGAGCTATCTCTGGCCCTTTTTTGAGAGTGCTACAGGCACGGTAGAATGGTCCCTATCTGCTTCAGGCCCCGCCCACTCATGGAGGCGGCAGACTGGAGCAGAAACACCCCCTCCTTTGCTCATCACTGCTGTGATGCAGTTTCCTTGTCTCTGCATTGGTACCCACGTCGTGGGAGTAGAGGAACTAAAGGAGACAATGTGATGCTGGGGAAGAAGCCAGCAATCAGAAGATAACGTTTTCCAAGCGTTAAATGCACACCAGGCCGTGCTTGGCAAGAAGCATCATACATGGCCAACACTGATGTCTCATTGTTATGCTCCACTTGGTGAGGAGGAAGATGATGATGATGATGACGATGATAATAAAAGTGCCAATGTTTGCAGAATCACCCGTGTAGTAAATGCTCGTTCCCTACTACATGGACTACAGCAGCTTTTTGCAGTTTTCAAGGATATTTTGTGTGGGAAGGGTGGCATGTTCACATGTCAGGAATGCACAAGAGTACATAGGTATGTGTGTGGAGACCAGAGGTCAAACTGAAGTGTGGTTCCTGGATCTGTATCTACCTGGTTTTTTTCAGACAGGGTCTCTCACTTAAACTGGAACTCCCAAGCAGCCTAGGCTAGCTGGTCAGCTAGGTCCAGCAATCCTCCTACCTCTGCCTCCCCAGCACAGGTGCAGAGGATGGAACGCGGGTCCCCATGTTTTCCTGGCAAATAAACTCCACCATCTCCCCAGCCCTCAAAGCCACTCCCCCTGGCAGCCCCCTCTCTTTATGTGCAGTGGCTGGGTAAGCTGTTCCTATTGAAGGTCCAAGGCTTGACGCTGTCGCTACCTGTACTGCCCTTGGAGGCATTTCTCTTTGATGTGGTAGAAATGACTGTTTCCCAACATGTCATTTGCCTCTTCTCCTACAAACACTGAGTATTTGAAACCAGAGGCAAATTTCCCAGCCTCCTTTGCAGTCATGTCCCGCACTTAAGGAGGCCTTTGCAAATGGGATGTCAGCGGGTAATGTGTGGGCCACTCATGCAGCTGAAACACAAGCAGTCAGTGGCCCGGTTTAACCAGCTAACAAGAGGTCACAGGTCAGCCAGCAACAGCCCTCGTACAACCCTGGCCTGCACCCGTGTGTAAATAAAGCTTAGCTGAAACCAACCATACCTCTTCATTCACACATTTCACAAGGCTTCCTAAGACAGTTATCCTTGGCTTTAAACTTAGAGAACCTGGAATTATAAAAGAGCCAAACCTCTGGGCACAGCTGTCTGGGATTTTTCCAGACTGTTGATTGAGGTAGGACCCTAACTATGGACGGCATCTTTCAATGGCCTGGAGTCCCCGGCTAAATGAAAGGAAGGAGCAAGCTGGGCATACCTGTTCACTTCTCCCCACATCCTGAGTGCAGATGCCACATGACCGGATGTGACCACCTCAAGCTCCTCCCACTGCCACTACACCACCACGAAGGGCTGTGTCCACGAACTGTGCGCCGAAACAAACCCTGCCTGCCGTAGTTGCTTTTGTCAGGTATTTTGCTGTAGTGGTGCTTTAGTTCCTAGTAAAGTCCTTGCATGCCGCGTGGCAACGCTGAGCAGAGACCCCAGACCCACAAAGCCCTCAGTGAAAACATCTGCCGCTCTCACGGTACTCAGTCTCCCCGCGCTGTAGCAAAACACCCAGAAAGAGCACCTGACCACTGTGAAGGTGAAATGACAAACCAGTCACACAGATGCTACAGGATCTCAATGCTCAGACAGCAATAGCTGGGTTTGCATCCTTGGATATGTGAGTACAGACATGTGTGCATGTGTGCGTGTGTGGTGTGTGTGTGTGTGTGTGTGTGTGTGTGTGTGTGTGTGTGTGTCTGTGTGTGTAGGCCAGAGGCTCACATTGGTGTTGTGGGTTGGCTCAGCTCACGGCTTCGGAGGTCCGTGGTTGGTTGGCTGGATTCCTTTCTCTGTGCCTGAGACAAGACAGAAACCTCATTGAGGCAGGAGCCTGAGGCTCAGAGGCCAGAAAGCTGAGAGAGGAGAAACAGGAAGTGTCTGGGGGTTGTACATCCTTAGGTATATCACCTGTGATCAGCTTCATCTAGCCAGCTCCCCCCACCCATGAATACTGTCCAAACAGGACTCATCAAGGGATTAACCCACTGATTAGGTCAGAGCCCCTTATGAACCAACACTTCAAAAAGCCCACCTCTGGATTCCACTGCCTGGGAACCAAACCCTCAGCATGAGCCCTTTGGGGAGACACTTCATAGCTGAGCATAAACCCGAACTATAACAAAAGCAGTTGAAAGATACTTTCTTTTCACCTATAAACTGGGTCAGACTGGGGCAAGAGTCCCATAGGTAAGCGATTGCCACACAGCATGATGGTCTGCGTCCAGGTCCCCAGATGCTGGGCACAGTAGTGCAAGTCTGAAACTGTAGCATCCCTGACATGTGACATGCCCCCCCACTCGAAATACCCTTGAAAACTGCAAAAAGCTGCTGTAGTCCTGTGTAGTTGGGAGTGAGCATTTATTACACCGGTGATTCTGCAGACATTGGCCTCTGTTATCAACTCCCTTATCTCCAGCGTGGAGGGTGGAGACAGGAAAATCACTGGACTCTGTTTGGCCAGCTAGCCTGGGGTGCACAGCAGAAAACAGCAAGAGACCCTGCCTCAGACAACATAGAAGGCAAGGTTGTGACCTTCACATACATCCAGTGACACTCACATCACACACACACACACACACAAGCACACTCATGTGCGTGCACACACACACACACACACACAGACTGAGTAATAAATAAAATAGATCCTTAAAATTTCTTTCACTAAAGGCTATTTAGAAATCGACTGTTCACAAGGTGACCCAAACTCAGAAAGATAAAAATGTTTCCTGTCGTGTGCAGGTCCTAACCTAGAGTGTGCACATATGTACGTGTAAGCAGCTGTGAGTGTGGGCAAAGCCTGAGAATCTAGGGAGGAGACGGAGAGGGTGATAATAGGGGATGAGGAAGGAGGGGAACAGGTGGAAAGACACATGGGACAAGGAAGAGTGGGGAGGCTATCAGGGTGACAGGGGTGGCAGGAGGTGGGGGAGACAGGGAAAGAGAGTCACAAAAGCACCCTTTGCTCTAAAATGTCATAATTGAACTTAATGCATTATATGTTGATTTTTAAAAATAAAATTTTCAAAAGAAATTTGCTTTTTGATTTCACAGCAGCTGTGAACTTCCTAGTTATCCGTGGCTTTGGTTCTATTTTAATCCCATTGTGTCCTGAGTACTTCATTGGATAGATCTAATCTTTTGAAATCCTTTGGGCTTCGTTACAGTGTCGACATGGGCCCTCTGATAAATGTTCCAGGTGCACTTGAAAGGGGCCTGAAATCTGTGACCCCCTTTTTAAAAACAGCTTTTTATTCCTTGGCTATAAATATCTTCCCCAGCATCGTTGGCTGGCAGAGGCAGTGTGTCTGTCCTCTGCTCCTCTACAGCACTGTGGGCTGGTGAAGGCAATGTGTCTGTCTGTCCTCTGCTTCTTTATAGCACCATGGTCTGGCGGGGGACAGTGTGTCTGTCTGCCCTCTGCTTCTCTGCAGCACTGTGGGCTGGCGGAGGCAGTGTGTCTGTCTGTCCTCTGCTTCCCTGCACGTGAACTCAGAGGAAGTAGCTGCAACTAACACTGGAAAGCGCCAGCACAGCAAGGCTCCCAAATGCTCCGCCTTCCATCCTTTGTTTATGCTGAGAAGGAAGAACTGTCCCCACTCAATGTCTAATTCCTTTCCAGAGACCTGTGTGAGCAGAGCATAGAAATCATGCTGACTCCAGAAATGATCCAAGTGGAATTCCCCATGATCAACCACAAGGACGCCAAGAAGGAGAAGTAAGTGGGTGTCTTTACCTGGAATAAGATTCATCCTAGGTGAAGGTCGGAGCTGTCATAATGTCTGAATCTCAGTATCACAAGTGTTGAAAGGGGCATATCTCCAATGTTTCAAATATTTACACGTGTCAGCATTTATACACTATCATCTCCTTCAAATGCTTTAGCAAGAAGCCTTTAAAAAAAAAAGAAGCTGGAGAGATGGGTAAGTGATTAAGAATGCATACTGCTCACCCAGAGGACCTGAGCTCAATCCCCAGCACTCACATCAGCTCAAACCTGCCTGTAACTCCAGCTCCTGGAGAGCCAGTTCCCTCTTCCAGCCCTTTGGGCACCGCATGCATGTGCACAAGCCCACACGCGTACATATACACATAATTCTTTAAAATAACAATAAAATGTTGTTAAAACTTGAATCCAGACATGGGGAGGATCAGTCTGTAAGTGTGTGCTCAGCAAGCGTGAGAACCTGAATTCGATCCCCTAAAACCTGTGTTTTGGTTTGGTTTGTTCTTTAAAGAGGCAAATTGGACGTGGTGGAACATAACTTTAATCCCAGCACTTGAGAGGTAGAGGATCTCTGTGAGTTCAAGGCCACCCTCATCTACGTAGTGAATATCAGACCAGCCAGGGCTACATAGAAAGACCCTGTCTCGAGAAAAAAAAAAAAGATATGATAGTGTATGCCTATGATCTCAGCACAGGGAAGGCGGAGACAGGAAGTTAACTGAATTCGTGTGCTCCAAGTTCAGTGAGAGACCCTGTCTCAAAATAAAGCAAAGAACCCCAAGGAAGATACCCAACGTGTTCTTTACGTTCAGTGCAATGGCTGCACCTAAGCAAGGGCTGTCCCAACCAGCAATTGCAACCCTGCTGCTACCACAGCTGCACAGGCTGCAGCCAGGTGGGAAGTGATCCTCTGCTACCGGCTCTACCACTGCCGCTAAGGGAAACTTTATCTAAATCTCTATCCTTCTACAGAAATCAGGATTCAAAGGTTGAGAGGAAATTCTGTTCACTCAGAGAGGCTGAATAGCAAGCAGCTAACCTCTCCTGGCTTGTGTCTCCCCAAAAAAGGGGCATCCTTCTGCTCAGTCCCCACATAAAAACCTCAGCTACACTTAGTTCCTCCCTAGCACTTCCTGTCAGCTACTTGCTGACTCAGCCTCCTGACCCAGGTTAGTTTTATTTGATCAATTAAATGTAACACGCCTCTGTATCATTAACAAAAACAGCAGAAAAAGAATGTTACACACCTTTACAAAGTTAAAATAATTTTCCACAACACCAGTGTGAGCCTCTGGCCTACACACACACACACACACACACACACACACAAACATGTCTGCACTCACATATCCAAGGATGCAAACCCAGCTATTGCTGTCTGAGCATTGAGATACTGTGGCATCTGTGTGACTGGTTTCTCATTTCACCTTCACGGTGGTCAGAGTGACAGGGGTGAGCAGAATGGGAGGTGGAAACCGTAAGAAACTATGTAGCTGAGACCCAAATCCAGTTAGAGGCACTTGGGGGCTGAAGGTTCGTTCTCACTGGTTACTAAATTACTGCCAAATATAATCAAAACCTTCTTTCTGTATTAAAGCAGAACTTCCAATCTTCATGGGACATCAGGATAATTCACATGGTTTTTTGAAGTTTGTTTACTTGGTGTGTGTGTATGTATGTTGTGTGTGTGTGTTCTCTCCTTCCATGATGTGGGTCCAGGGAATCAGACTCATGTCTCAAGACAGGGCAGCAAGTACCTTTACCCCACTTCTAAATTCTTTTAAATAACATTTATTGATTGAATTTGTATGTTCTCATGTGAATATATATGTATATATGAATATATGTATGGGCCTGTATGGGCCATGGTAAGCACACAGTGGAGGCCAGAGGACACTTGTCTCTCTCTTTCTACTCTGTGGGTCTCGAGGATGGATCTCAGGTCATCAGCCTTGGGGCTGTTGCCTTTACTAAGGAGCCATCTGGCCTGCTTGACTTGCATGTTTTAATAAGTGGCTTAGTGTATCTTTGTTGTGTTTCCGATATTCAGGGATGCCAAAGACTCAGCCCAGCCTCTAGAGAAGGTGGGAGAGAAGGTGCTGGAGGAAATGAAGAATCTCCGGACCAAAGCTCTCAACACATACTTGATTCTACACTAAGCATCACCGTTGTGTCTATTACCCCTCTTTGCCCTCGAAAGCCACTGAGGTCCTCTGAGTTCATTTACATTCAAGCCACTTTTAGAATTAAAGTTTCTAGAGGCAGGAATTGAAATGTGGATGCCTTGGTTTTAAACTATATTTTTTCTTGCTGGAAATAAAAATATGTCATTGCTATGATGGCAACGCTGAGACTCTTGGTACAAGACTAAGCTGGACAAAGGCGAGTGTCACCGTGACAAGGGACTAAGGGCCAGGGGCCGGGAGAGGGGTCAGTCAGTAAAGTGCTTGTCTCAAGCATGAAGACCTGAATTTTATCCCAAGAATCCATGTAAAATGCTGCGTACAAAGGTACACGCTTCTGATCCCAATGATGGTGAACAAGAGGTTGGGGATGGGAGAAGATCCCTGGGACTCAAAGGCCAGCCTGTCTAGCCTGCTTGGCGAATTCTGGGCTAGTAAGAGACCCTGGACTTTTTGGTTTATTTTTTGTTTTGTTTTGTTTTTTTCAAGACAGGGTTTCTCTGTGTAACAGCTCTGGTTGTCCTGGAACTCCCTTTGTATACCAGGCTGACCTTGTGCTGGGATTAAAGGAGTGTACCACCACAGTCCTGCAAAAGAGACCCTGCTTTAAAAATCAATGTGGAAAACATCCTGAGGAATTGTGTCTGGGGTTGACCTCTGGCCTCCACACACACATTCACATGCACCCAGACTTGTCACACACACACATGCCAAGAGACTAAGAGCCAGGCACTCCTACAGCTGTTTCTGGGAGTTGTTTGTGGCAGTTCGTGGACCTGAGAGGGATCTGACTTCCCACCTCTACTGGGAACCTCTCAAGGACCTTGACCTTAGTGGCCACTCCCAAGAACATCATGAGGGCAGGAACACTGGCCCCTGGAGTAGCTGTGCTGGGGGCAGAGCTTGGCTAGGACTGGCTCTGGTGTGGACATAGTGAGACAACTAGAATTTGCACTCACTTGGGAACTGGACAGCACCCCTCTGGGAACTCCCAGAAGCACCTGGAGCAGGAAGTCAATACAAAATGCCTAGAATTCTGGTAACCAGTTCTTTTCATTGTGTTTGTCAACAGGGCTCCATTCACAGGCACAGGCCAGGAAGGTTGATGGTGTCTGGGTTCCGTCACACTCATAATTATCCAAGTGTGTTTGGAAGTATGTTCACTTCTCTGTTCCTGTATGTATGTATATGTGTGTATGTGTGTATGTATGAATGCATGTGTTTGTGTGTGTATGTATATGTGTGTTGTGCATGTATATATGTATATTATGTGTGTATATATGTGTGTGTATATATGTGTATGTATATGTGTGTGCATGTGTCTATGTATGTATGCAATTACTTGTCGATGCAACAAAATACGCAACAAAAGTGACTTAAGGAAAGGTTTTATTCTGGCCCATGGTTTCAAGGAATAAAGGAAAGTCATGGCAGGAAAAGTCATGGCAGGAAAATCAAGCCATCAGGTGAGGAAGGCACCGTGGCAGGAGCTCAAGACAGCTGGTCACATGGTATCCACAGCCAGGAAGTGCTCAGCTCAGCTCACTTCCCCTTTTTCCTCAGTCTGAGACCCCAGACCATGGACAGTGATGTCCACACGTAAGATGGGTCTCTCCAACTCCACCTAACCCAGATAATCCCTGTATAAAGAACCAGATATAACAGACACTGCAGAGATTTATTTCCAAGGTGATTCTAGATCCAAAATTAATGATCAAGATTAGCAATCAACAGTATATAATCTTAAATTGTCAGAACCTGCCTCTCTTTCTCACATACACACACACAGGAGAACATACACACACACACACACACACACACAGACTCCAGTACTCATCCTTTGGACAGGACAGCAGCTGACTGCCAGGAACCCACCAGAGACCACTGGCGCTCAGGAGCCCTTTGGCTACCCATCATTCGCAGGGCAACCCCTCATTTCTCAGCCCGTGGGTCAGCGGCCTATTCATCTGAGTCTGCTTGGGAGAGAATGTTGGCTTCTGCTGTGTTGAGGATGTGGCTCGGCTGCTGGAGAGTTTGTTGAGTTTTGTGTGAAGTCCAAGTTCCAACCCCAGCTCTGTGCAAACTGGGTCCTGCATTGAATACATCTGCTTGGCCTCCGACACTGCACAGACAAGTCCAGACTGTGCTTCTGCAGGACCTGATTCCTCCAAGTTCAGGTTTGGCACTTGTCTGCTTCCCTCCGCAGCTCCAGCCATCGGTTCCTAAGCCTCTGGCTGGTTCTCCTCCTTGCCCCTTTCCTTTCAGGTACTCAACATTGCTTTCATAACTCCATTAGTCATTTTTTCATTACTGTGACAAAAGAAACTTAGGGACAAGTTTGTTGTGGGTTATGGTGCCAGGGAACCATCATCAAGGAGGCAGGAGTGTGTGGCTGCTGCTTGCGTTGCATCCACGGTCAGGAAGCAGAGAGAGACGGATGCTGGTGCTCAGTTCACTTTCTCCTTTTCATCCAACCCGGGATCTTAGCCCATGGAGCTGTGTCAGTCACAGTCATGGGGGTCTTTCCACCTCTTTTAGCCTGGCCTGGAAACTCCCTTACAGACATGGATCCCGTCAAGTGGAACCTCAAGATTAACCTCACAGTGACTCTCTGGCTCAGGCTTTGTTCTATGAACTTGAATCTGTTCACATGTCAGTGTACGTTTGTGCCTGCCTCAGTTTCCCCACCTATAAGTAAGCACCAATTTCCCAGCTTTTCTGACCTAAAGCTTAAAGCGATAGGAATAGCTGCATTTAGCTGTGTTAGGGTTTCTGTGCCCTCTAGCGGATGTTACAGGAAATACATCTCTTGACTTGAATGTTCTAACCTCAGTTCCTACGTGAACCAAATCACCTTTCAGATGGTTCAAAGAGCTTTTCCCCTCCTTCAGATCTCCTGTGGATGAAAAGAGGTAGGGAAACGTCAAAAGTGTTATCCTGAAATCCATACAATGGTAAAAGTTCCTTTAGCACACTCATTGTGATGTTCAGAGGTTCTCCAGGATCTGTTGGGCCAGTTTCATGGGGACAGTGGCTAGAACAAGATTGTCATCATGACTGAGTGACTGGGAATCTCGGGTGCAACACTAGCTTCTGGAGATCTGGCAGCTCTCTGTCTCTCGCGCTTACTAACATTATCACACCTTTCCTGTTAGATTTAAACTAGGGGCTAATCAGGCCACACTAACCCGTACAGTAGGGAGAGTCTCTGTGAATCTGTATCGGGCAGCCAGTGTCCAGTACCAGGACTCCAGATCAGAAAAGCTAAGTTCCAGACCAGATGTTGTTCAAGTTAAGCCCATCTGGAGCCTCCTGTGCCCATGCCCATCCTCATAGTTGATTCAGGATCCCTGCTGCTACAGAGAGATACAGCCACTCTTCTCAGAGCCTGTGAGTCTGTAGACAGACTCCTCGGGTGCCAAGAGTCCTGAGAACGACAGGCACCCAGGAGACTTACAGAGCTCAGGTTGCCAGATTCAGGCATGAGGGAGGCTAGATGTTAAGGGAGTGCATCCATCCTCCATATCTCCCCATCACCTAGTTACACATTAGCAAGAGTACTTCCTTCTCATGAGACACTCCATGCCCTTTCCCCCAAAGCCTAGATAGACTCCTTGACTCCCTGGGCAGTCCAAAATCCTTTGCTCACTGTCTCTTGTGGCCTCAAGAAATAAACACCATCGGTGTGTGCTGTTGAACTCAGGGCCTTATAGTTTCCTAAGACTCAGTATAATGGTAAAAATAAAATGGTGCTGTTCCATGAGTGGCAGCAGTGGTAGCAGCGGGCAGTGGGCCATGAGGGGCAGCAGGTCCCCACATGGCAGGTGAGAGACAGAGACAGATAGGCACACCATGCAGAGAAAGTGGGTATTTATTTAGTGGGTTATGGAAGGGAAAGGGGAAAGGGAGAAGGGGAAGAGCAGAGAGAGGCAGAGATAGAAAGAGAGAGAGAAACAGAGAGAGAGGGAGGGGGAAGAGGAGAGGAGAAGCTACCTCTTCAGGAGAGAAATGGAAAGGGAAGAGCTCAGGCTGGAAGAAGAAGGCAGATCTGCTTGCCTTGGCAGACCAGGGAGGGGGTGGGCAGGGCATGTCTCTTAAAGGGACAGGGCAGACCATTACACTCAGGAGCTAGAGAATTGAAGATCTCAAGAGTAACCTCTCTCCTTTCAGATTAGTTATAGCTCAAGCACTTTTAGTTGGTGAAGTATTTTTTACAAAACGTTGCAGAACTTGGGGATCACTGCCTGTGCCCCCACGAACCAGGTCTGGCCACTATCAACAGAAAATCAGCTCTCTCATCAAAGTAATAAAACTATTATGTCCAGATCACAGAGTCCCCCCAAAACCAACCAAGAGACCAAGTCCTGTATGTAAAAGCAAAGAGCCTTTATTCTCACACAAGTTTGCAAACTTGGACTCTCCATGTGTCCATCATATTGCAGTGGTCGGAGAGTTCCAAGCTCAGTTAGGGTTGGGTTTTTATAGAGGCAAAGGTGGAATTTCTAAGGTTCAGGACCCCTGATTGGCTGACATTTGTCTAGGGGTGTCCTGTGGAAAAGCGATGGGTGTGTTCTGGCAGGTGATCCTATTTACAATGGTTGGAACCTTAGGAATTTCCTTTGGATGGTCTGTCCCTGGGTGATACCTGGGTGGTCTCAGTTTGTGGTCTTTCTTGGAACTAGGTAATTCCTTAGGGTAAACTACTGAGACTCAGGCCTCTATTGAGCTTGTCAGGGCTGGGTCCTACATAAACACAGATTATTCTGGAGCCAAAAACATGTGTCCATGGCCTGGAAACACAGATATAGATCTCCCACATACCACATCATATATGAGTCTTTTCTTTCAAATAAAGTCTTTGAAGGGTCTTCCTCCCCTAACTTAGGGTTAGTGGCTAATTGGTACACAATAGCTATCTAAACATGCTCTGATCTGCTTTGAACTTCTTGAAGGAGCAGGTGAGTCCAACTAGTTGGGGGGGGTATAATGGTGAAAACAAAACGCTGCAGTTCCCTGAGGGGTGCAGTGGCAGAAACACTGCAGGTTCCCAAGTGGCAGCAGCAGGCAGTGGGCCACAAGACCACAGTGGGCCATAAAGGCAGCCAGGTCCCAGGCAGGAAGCTGTGCAACAGGTAAAAGACAGAAACCTGTCCCACGAGGACCCGTGGTAGGTGAAAGACCTAGACAGATAGGCACACCATGCAGAATGAGGTTGGGTATTTATTTAGTGGGTTATGAGGGGCAAAGAGAAAGGAAAGGGTAGGAGGGAGAAGAACAGAGAGAGAAGAGGGAAGGGGAGAAGTGGGGAGGAAGGAGAGAAACAGAAGCTGCCCCTTTGGGAGAGGAAGGAAAGGAATGGACTCAGGCTGCAAGCAGAAGGAAGATCTGCCTGCCTCGGTGGTGGAGAGGGGAGGGAGTAGGCAGGGCTTGTCTGTTAAAGAGACAGAGCAGACCATTACATTCCCATTTCTTTTTTTATAATAAAAAGGTGGGAGGCCAGACTCATCAGGTTAAAGGAATTAGGGCAGCAGATTCTCAAGACTGCTTCCTGCTTATTTGTGGGCATTGTCTGGGAGGAGAAACCTGAGAAAGCTGGGTGCTGATCACATCCTGGAGTAGCTGGACTCCTTGTTCCTGCCCAGTGT